TTTTATTTATTTCCTCTAGATTAGTCTGTAGAACCTTAGTCTCGTTTTTTAGAAATGAATACTGCTCTAATACTGCTTCGCAAGTCCGAGTAATTCTTATGTAAACTCTCAAACTCCGAGTGTAATTGGGTCACGGCGAATTCAAGTTTATGTCTTTGTTCCTTTTCTTCAATTAGAAGCTTCATCAAGGTGATAAAATAATTCTGTCAAACCGCCGGAGGAGTCAGTTTGACCATCTAGTAAAAATCCTTCTGTTTTACATAGAATGAACAAAACGAAAACAACAGTCATGTTCTTCCCAATCATTTTGACAAATGTTTTAGCGAAGTATAAAAGATAATTATACGTTATGAGGACCTTTATACAATAAACATTTTTATCTGTTTAACACGTGTCGAAATTAATTCCTTTTTACCTCAGCTAGCCGTTATGTTATCAAACCGTTTCTTAACGTGTCACATTTAACATGTTTATATAAAACCATTTACATTAATACGCATTACAGATTTACTATGCAGTTACATGTACTTTGTTTCAAAGTGAATATATATTTACTACAACAGGACAAGAGTATGACCTGAAACATGTGAAAAGACCTGTGTATGTCTTAAAGGTGATGTTTTCTCCTATATGTCGTTTTGACTATTTGTCGTTGTATTGCTGCTCTTTCTTCTTTTCTTCGTGTGAAATATAGAAACTGCTCAGTTTATTAATGAAATACTTTGAACTCAATCAAATTGAGAATGGAAACGAAGAATGCATCAAAGAGCAGAAAATATCCGAAGGCCACCAATGGGTCTTCAACACAGCGAGAAAATCCTGCACCCAGAGGCGCGCTTCAGCTGGCCCCTAAACAATAATGTATACTAGTTCAGCATAAATGGACGTCACACTTAACTCCGACACATATATAAATGAACCAAAATTTAAAAAGCATACAAGACTAAAAAGACCAGAGTTTCCTGACTTGAGACAGGCGCAAACATGCGGCGGGCTTAAACATGTTGTGTGTGATCTCAACCCACCTATACCTCTAGCCAATATGGAATAAACAAACACACATCAATACGCACAGTAAAATTCAGTTTAAAAGAAGCCCATGTACGATGTTAGAATAAGTAACAGAAGAAACTAAGCAAAATGACAATAATCAACATAAATTAACAAAGGACTACTAGCAGTTCCTGACATGTCAGCTCCAAACCTCAATTAAACTGATTGAAAGATTATGTCTTCATCATATGAAAATCAAGCACAATCCCTCCTGTTATGGGTTTAGTATCAAAACATCATAAAGTATACGAGAACATAACCCGTGTCATGCCAACAACTGGTGTTGGAATAAATGTGTTTATTTCTGATGCAAAAACCCTATGAGTGTCCAAAAAATGCAATCTTTAATGACCTGACAACAGTATCGTAACTATATCCCTTTAAATATGCGTCATGTATATAGGACCGGACACAATCATTTTGTACGGATGTCGGAAACGAAAATCGTCTTTCTCTCGGGGTTAATACGCCGATGGCTTCCCCTTTTAGCTCGTCATAGTCGAGTCAAAGAGTATCGGAAGCAATTAAACCCATCTCTCCTTTGTCGACATGGGTCTGTGTTTTTGTTCGATGCTTATCTGCTTTGTATCGATCTGATGATTTAAGCTTTTTTTAACTGATTTTTATAGTTTGTTCTTATGTTGTACTTTTACACCACGGTCCCAGGTTAGGTGAAGGGTTGAGCGCTCACAAACATTTTAAACCCCGCCACATTCAATTCTTTATGTGCCTCTCCAAAGTCAGGAGCCTTTAGTTCAGTGGTTTTCGTTGGTTCATGTCTGTCATATTTGTTTTTCGTAAATTGTTTTGTTTTAAATTAGGCCGTTAGTTTTCTTGATAAATTGTTTCATATTTTTCATATCGGGGCCTTCTATAGCCTAGTACAGTATAGGGTTTTCTCATTGTTGAAGGCCGTATATACGGTTGCCTATAATTGCTTATATCCAATTCATTTGAACTTGGGTGGGTTCATGTAGTTGTCTCATTGGCAATCACACCACATCTCTTTATTTTTATATGAGTAATTTTTCACCGTCTGTTTTTAGTGTCTCTAATTGAGGAAACAATCTGCATGGGCAAGATCCAATGGTCTCTATTTAAAAAAAATGTGCCCTAATGAATTTCCTCTTCATTTGCCCCCTCCTCCTCCTCCTCCATCTCCTTCTCCTCAATCACTTCCTCCTCTCCTCCTTCTATCGATGTTTTTAGTTTTCTTTTATGAATTTATAAACTATCAAAAATTCTGTTTTAATATCCAGCTGAAGTGCAGCAAGAAAAATACGTGGAGACAATCATCTTTCAAAACAAAACCGATTTAAAAAACTTCGTTTCTGTTTACCGTGAATGTATTGGTTTATCAAATGTGGCGTCTATGTTATCTTCCTTCAATATCCTTACCGACCGGAGAATAGGTAGGGATGTACCCATAACGAGTGACTTTCTTCGAAATTGAAAAAAAAAGTTAATAAAATGTACTAGTCTTGTTAAAGTTTCCAGCTCCGGTACGAATGAAAGAACCATTAATGCATATTACCACGATCTGTCAAGATTACAACGTTTTGAAGGCAATCTCTGAAATTTTTACCTACGTTATTTTAAAACTTTGAAATCGATTATTCGCTATTGGCGAATAAGTAAAACTCGTCCATCGTTTGCATGCATGGTTTGCTGTCAGTTTCCTCTGATAGCTTCATCGATATAAGTATTTTACCTCAGTACCGTATTCAAAAAATAAACGTATATGTAGTGTCTTATAGGAATAGATATGAACGTGTGGCTCGACATAACGAATTTATTTTTGTATCGGTTGAAATAATTTGTATTACTCAATTCAAAGTACACGTCAATAAAACTTTCGTCGCTTCTTTAAGAATTCAATTCCTCGAGTGTAAGCACCCCTTTAATTTTTCGTTTCCGTAAAGATTTCGAAAAAATATATATATCTTTATTTTGCGTATGTTTACAACGAACAACGAGAGAGAAAAAATTGTTTTACGAGTTGCGTCGTTTATTCATCTAATAGGGAAAATGGGGAAATGTCAGATAATATATGTGGAGGTATGGTTTCCTGTTACTTTATATAACGATATATATATTTATATAACGTGTTTTGATAGGATTATCATGATTATACAGAAATCGTACATAATTTTTTAATATTCTATTTCTCAACATAACCCACACACACACCAATTAAAAGCATCTAATTCGCATCGGAATAAACCGATTCTGTTTCTCTGTGTGTAAATAAACTTTCCCATATACTCCCCCCCCCCCCCCCCCCCCCCACCAAAAACATGAAAAAATAGAAATATTGTTTTTATTTTAATTTAAAATAAAAATAAAAGTAAGTACCAGTTTGTTGTATGCTCCTTGTGCCCACTTGTCTGGACAATTATACTATCCGCCTTTTTTAATTACATTAATGTTGTAATCTATTTTTGGCTCTAGCTTTATACTGCAGAGTCCTTCTTAGCATATGTAATCACAACTAAACTGAACTCACAACTTTTATGACTCACTACTTGGAGATATCGGGATTTTATTTTTCCATTTTATACTTTCTTTGTTGAATTGTTTCTTTTTGCTTTATATATTATAGTATTTTTCTAAAGTCAACAACAATCTGAGTGCTAAAAATAAAAATAAAATAAGAATAAAATAAAATAAAAAAAAACAAAATTATATTACCCTTAAAACTATTAATGACAAAAAAAAAAAAGCATACAGGAATTAGAGTATGTTGGCATTTAGATCAAAATCGCACGCGCTATTCTTTCATCAAATATGGATGCTAACAGAAGCAATATTTGTTAAAAATGCTGCTATAAAAAAACATGAAATCGGTCATTAGGATAATTGATGAACTTTTCATTGATGTATGGCATTCCCTTGAAATATCTATCACATAAAAAAAGTACTCATCAATTACTTTAATCCCCGTGTTAAATTTTATAAAAACAGATTATTTAATATGTCTTTTCGTTCATTTCAATGATTTTTTTTGTTTCACTTTAACCCTTCTAGTATGTTCTTATTACTTCCGTAAGACGTACTTATATCATGTATCTGTCTAAGTGCTTGGGTACTTGAATGTTGAACAACACAATATTCCCGTCTACCATGTCAACAGATTAAATTGTCCGCGATCTGAAGATGTTATCTATAACTGAATCATTTCAAGCTTTAATTAGATATAAGAAGATGTGGTATGAGTGCCAATTAATGAGACGTTACTCTCCATCCAAGTCACAATTTGTAAAAGTAAACCATTATACATGTAGGTCAAAGTACGGCCTTCAACACGGAGCCTTGGCTCACACCGAACAGCAAGCTATAAAGGGCCCCAAAAATGACTAGTGTAAAACCATTCAAACAGGAAAACCAACGGTCTGATCTATATAAAAAACGGGAAACGAGAAACACTTATGAACCACATCAACAAACGACAACCACTGAACATCGGGTTCCTGACTTAGGACAGGTGCAAACAAATGCAGCGGGTTTAAACGTTTTATAACCACATATCTAACTAATCCAATAATTCATGTTTATTTATTTATTTATTTTTTTTTTTTTCTCATTAATTTTTTTTTTTTTCTTTTTCTTCTTCTTCTTCTTTCACCTTTTTCATATTCATATATTTATTACAGAGCATGCCAGTATTTATATTTATGTATTGTCCAATAAGTGTATTATTTTGTGTAAAAGGAGACAGATTTGTAAAAGCAAATTGCTTGTTTCTGAATCCTTAATATTATTTCATTTGTATAATATCGTTTAATGTTGATTTATCTGAATAAATATTATTTAAACTAACTAATCCAATTCTTAAATACTTGGCTACAAGTCTTACATTTGTACCAAATGGAATTTCTAATGTCAAAGCGTTTTTTAACACTGAGCGCAGATGTTCGAAGTCATCCTTTAGATACCTCATTGTTATCATCAACGACACAAATATTGACCTTGTAGAAAATTAAAGCTCTCCGTTAAATATGCGTAGATGTCTGGAACCACAGAAGCTTGATGGTAAGCTAAGCATTAAATTACTTTTTAGGTTCTGTAATTTATGACCCTGCAATGGTTTTATTTAACACAAAAATATTTCTATACTTTTTATGTAATATGACAGGGAATCATTATCTGAGCAGTAAATCAATTTAACAAATACATACTATCTATTTACCGCAAATTTTTCGGAGGCATGATGAGGGTTATTTATGGCGAAACGAAATGCAACAGTGTATTTGCCGGCGTTGCATATACAGAATATCAAGTAAACTATCAAAAACCTCACACCCGCGACTATTCTGACTCTTGAGTGTAAGGAGCTCCTGTGAGGACAAATTACACCAAATTGCACCATGACATTTTGGATCATTTTGAGCATGCAGCTTTCCTTTGTTCCCCGGGTTCGCATAATGTAAACAATTTAAAACACCTGACTGGACACTGATGCTTTTTTTGTCCAAATAGTCTCTGTTATAATTGTGTATTGTTTAATGCGGAGAATCAGATTAATTGATTCGGTGACTTCTGTCGGGTACTGAGGTCGGATGGGTTTATATGTCATCAAAATCTTTACACGATTTTTGAGAGAAAAACATGCATTGAAGGACATCTGCAGCAAGTTAATCATGTTAATAACATTTATAATATTTATGTGATGGTATTAGAACTTGAAGCTTTCAAAATGTTGACTTTTTCAGTGGTTTTCGCTAGTTGCTTTCTATAATTATATAGTATTTCTTTTTCATTAATAGTTTTTGTGCATAATACAGGCCACCAAAATTAAGCCAGCTCGAGCCTGTAATTCGGTGGTTGTCGTTGGTTACTGTTTATAGTATTTGTTTTTCATTCACTGTTTTGTACACAATACAGGCCACCTTAAGTCAGCTGGAGCCCCAATTTAGTGGATTTCGTTGGTTGCTGGCTAGTGTATTTTTTTTTCCATTAATTGTTTTATACACTGTACAGGCCATTCTAAGTGTTAGTCAGCTTGGGCCTGTTATATTTTAGGCTTCGTTGGTTGCTGTCTATAGTATTTGTTTTTCATTAATTGTTTTATACATAATATAGGCTGTCCAAAGTCAGCGGAGGCCTGTAATTGTTTTATACATAAAACAGGCTGTCCAAAGTCAGAGGAGACCTGTAAATTTGTGGTTGTCTTAAGATTTGATGCTGTCTAATTTATTTATTTTTCGTATAGTTTTTTTTTTAGATTAGAGTTTGGTTTTGTCGCGTGAATTGATTTGCATTTGATTATTTAGAAGTCTTTTATATCTTGCTTGTCGGTGTGGGTATGCTCATTGTTAAAGGCCCTCACGTTGACCTATATTTTCTTGAATCTACGACAATTGGTCTTAGGTTGATAGTTGTCTCATTGGCAATTATATAACACATTGTTTAATTATGAAATAAGCATAAATTAAAGCAAACGATTTGTTTTAGTTTTATCAGCTGGTGATAAAGATCCAGAAGTTTACGAGGAAAGATTCAATACCATAGTTTATAATGGAGTTGTCGCTCTTGGTATAGGACTTGGACACAAAGTTGGTCTTTTTAAAACGCTTCTTGAGTTGTCAGAACCAGAGACATCGCAATCAATAGCAGACAATGCAGGATTACAGGAGAGGTGCGGTACACATATTTAGATATTTGTTAAAGACATGTTTAGTAACCCCCGTACATGTATCCGAATATGTACTAAAAAATACATACACATGAACATGATGAAGATACAACATCTATAGTTGAAGCACCCATACAGAGGCCGATTTATTGAGCTAAATATATGGTTAATGTATATACTTTTTACAAGTTCCACTCCTAACGCTGCCTTAGTCGACCCTACTTTATTTTTAAAACCTGGATTTGCAATTGCTATATGTTTTCAGCTTTCTGACATTTTGTGCATAATAATACTTTCAAAAGGATAACAGGAATCTATGTAAATATAATACAGTACAACAGACTGGCTATCAAAATCGACATCTCCGTGAAATAACGCAGAAGGAAAGGCACCAACAAACAACAAATGGTCCAGATAAATAATCATAACTTCGTTATAAGATTTAATTGAAATCGGGAGTATGAGAGGACATTAAGTACTTGAAACCGACATTTAATGAACGTTGACCATAAAAATTCATCTGAATCCCGGTGTACCGACATATTCATCTTACAATGATTGAGGGTCTGGATTGAGAGTCCTCCATTTCAGTATTTTTTAATACTTTTGCCATTTTTCTCTATTCTTTATAATTTTTGCCTTTTATTCTGTATTTTTAAGCTCACCTGGCCCGAATGACCAAGTGAGCTTTTCTCATCACTTGGCGTCCGTCGTCTGTCGTCGTTAACTTTTACAAAAATCTTCTCCTCTGAAACTACTGGGCTAAATTTAACCAAACTTAGCCACAATCATCATTGGGGTATTTAGTTTAAAAAATGTGACCGATGACCCCGCCTGCCAACCAAGATGGCCGACATGGCTAAAAATAGAACATAGGGGTAAAATGCAAGTTTTGTCTATTATTTTAAAAACCGTTATAAATAGAGAAAATCTGACAGGACAAAATGTTCAGAGTGTTGAGCTCTACCAATTGTTTGTCTACGTCAAAACTGTCAAACGACTTCTTATAGGAGTTATTGCCCTTAAATGACAAATTTTACCATTTTTTTCATGTTTGCCTATAATCTTGAAAACTATAATAGATAGGGAGAAACTTTAAATTGCAAAAATGATTAGCAAAACAAGTTCTACAAATAAGTCTAATCGTCAGTCGACTCTTTTTTTCGAGTTATTGCCCTTTGTTGACGATTTTTACCTGTTTTTTGCGTTTTTGCCTTATATCTTAAAAATTATAATAGATAGATAGAAACTTAAATAAGCAAAAATTATCAGCAAATCTACAATTTAGACAATACGAAGGAAATCGTTTGACGACTCCTTATTGGAGTTATTGCCCTTTTATGACGATTTTACCAATTTTTTTGCGTTTTGCCTTATATGATAAAAATTGTAATAGATAAATAGACACTTTAAATCACAAAAATGATCAGCAAGGCAAGATATACTAACAAGTCAAATTTTGCTGATAGTAGACTGTCACTCTCTATAGGGGTGATTGCCCTTAAATGAGGATTTTTTTACCCTGTTTTGTGTTTTGAGCAAAAACTAAAGAAGATAGAGAGAAACTAAACAGACTAAATGATCAGCAATACAAGATCAACAAAACAGAGATTTTTGTCATGCATTCTATTCTCATCTACAATGTTGGAGAGTGTCCTTTGTTAAATATGCACATAGACCAAGGTGAGCGACACAGGCTCTTAAGAGCCTCTACATGTAGTTATATTTTAGCACCTCACTATTCTCTATTCTTTGTTTTTTTGGTCCATTTTTCTCTATTCTGTATATTTTTTGCTCATTATTCTCTATTCTGTTAACCCCATCCACACCCTCAGGATTTGTAGGACAAAATGTATTTGACATATTTACTTATATTTACTGAGAAACTTATTTTGGTTTGCCAGCTAACCGAAAAAGGTTATTTTCGTGATTTTTCATTATGCAATCTGTATTGAACTTGACTGTTAGCTATTTTTTTATTTTTCGTTCATCGTGAAAACAGTAATTCTATTTTCCGTTCATCTGTGCACATACCCTCCATAACGACCCTCTGCTAACGTATGAATGATGCGACTGTCCATTTCTCATTAAAAAGGGGTAAACGGGCAATTGAATGTTTGCCTGTAATCATAGTTAGATACATGTATTTGTCTGACAGAGGATCACATGACCGAACCCTTATTTATGGTTTATTGAGTAATGTTAAGTTTTCGTACTATCATCTTGGCCGGTGTCTCAGTAAGTGTGAGTAATGGGTCAACTAAATTTGGTCTATTGAATTATTGTAAGCCATTACTATAAGTCCGCTGGGTATATACACCTATACATGTCTTTCATGGTTACATTCTCTATTTCGGTATTTGTAAGGTGAAAAGTTGACTCATTGGCAATAATACCACATCTTCTTATTTTTTATTTTTGTTTATGAAATGAACACATGTACATATTCTTTTTAGGAATACCGCCTCGGTGGTCTCGTGGTAGCGTGTTCGCCTCGAATGCGGAAGGTCATGGGTTTGGACCCCGGCCGGGTCAAACCAAAGACTTTACAATTGGTATTTGCTGCTTATCCGCTAAGCACGTGGCATTAAGGAGTAAGAGAAAAGACGGGTCGGCTCGGAGTCAGAATAATGTGTCGGGGTAAGGTGACATGTCTTCCTGCGGACTGTTACCTTTGTTAATTAGAACGTTAAAAATCCGGCTCAGCGTGTTGGTCTAGTACAAACCAGGTTTATTATTCATATTACATTAACATGTTCTCGTCCTGAATGTGCATATTAATTTGCCGCTGGATGTTAAGCAGCCATCCATCATTATCATCTTTTTAGGATTTGACTTTTCTTTCTTTTTTTGCATCAATGATTAACGTTATCATTCCAAACATACATGTATTAGAACTTCTCATATTCTATGATTAGTAGATCTATTTTATTTGATATGCCTAATCATTGTTATGTGTATGAGTGATACATTTAATAGGGTTTATCTATAATACTTATAACCTGTAATAAGAAAATTTATCATACTCAATTACAACCGCCTTTTTTTGGTTTCGAGCTCTCGAGCTCCTTGCAGCAGGTTGTCGTGGGTTCGATCCCCGGCCGCATCAAACCAGACTTGAAATTTTGTATTTTCTGCTTCTCCGCTAAGCACGGCACATTTTGGAGTACATGTAAGAGCAAAGCGTGGTCGACTTCATTATATGTTATTCATATAACATAGTCATGTTTTCGTTCTGATGTACATGTAATATTCGCCACCGGACGTTAAACACTAAATAATCCTGATCAATCATACTCAAATAAGCAGACGAAACATTTAAGTGTGTCATCTATGTTTTAGTATTAACTGTATTTTATAGATATGTTAGAGAATGGTTGTTTTCAATGGTTGCAGCTAAGGTAGTCTTTATAACAGACGACAACAAATACTACATTCCAGCTGGCTGTAAGACGAAAACTTCTAAAAGCTTGTTTGCAACATGGATACCTGCCGCTGCTCCACTCACCAAGGATGTGGAGAAATGTTTCAGGTCAAAAGATCCATCATCAGCTGGTAAATTGTGATTTCAATTATTTTTATCTCACCTGTGATATTGAGTTACTCAGTATTGCCTTTTGCATTATGAATTTTACGATCGAAACGATCAGATATATTCTTATTGCATTGTATCAAAGTTATGCTAAAATTCTAGGTGAGCCATACTCGCATCTCATAGCCTCTAGTTTTTTTCCATACTGTTATATACACGAAATGTTTGTCACTGGACGTTACGCAATCAACAATCAACCATTTTTTTCAAATGTAAATGTCTGTTTTGTTCACGCATCGTTGTTAATATAACGGAATTTGATGAGACTGTCGTACAAGTGAGAGGTTTAGCGCTATAAAACCAGGTTCAATCCACCATTTTCTACATTTGAAAATGCCTGTACCAAGTCAGGAATATGACAGTTGTTGTCCATTCGTTTGATGTGTTTTGTCATTTGATTTTGCCATGTGATTAGGGACTTTCCGATTGAATTTTCCTCGGAGTTCAGTATTTTTGTGATTTTACTTTTTTCTATCATTTCTGTCTTTTCATATGTAACATTATACTACAAATATGAAGTATGTGTTAATAGATTCTATGTCACTTTATTCTTTTTTTCTTTGTCGTTTGTAAATACCGCTGCCGGGTTAATTTTGATTACTAATCAACGTGCTTGCTTTAACCTTGCGTGACCTGTTCACGAGTTGGTTGACCGTTATGGAACATTTGTTTCACAGATGACGACAGATATATATGTTTCAATTGTAGTAACCACAATCCCGTCCATTTTTCCTCGAATGTGACCTACCGACTTAGACTTATCTACGGGTTTGTACTTACACGAGCAACACGGCGGGTGGTACATGTGGAGCAAGATCTGCTTACCATTCCGGAACACCTGAGACTCACCCCAAATTTTTAGCGGATTCATGTTGCTTAGACTTTAGTTTTGTATACTGTGGTTTGCCGTTTGATCGATTTTCGTTTTTTGCCATGCTACTTTCAGTTTGTTTTCTACTTTTGATTTTGAATATCCCTTTGGTATGTTTCGCCTCCGTTTCTTGTTTCCATTGTAACATTTGATGTGTTCTGCTAGACACGATTTCGAGTGGCGTGATGAGATAAACAGTTAACCTGCGAATAGAAAATTATTGTACAATTTAAGAGCTAGAGTACAAACAACACAAAATGTGATAATCCCAGGCTAGAGGGAGGATTCGCGCGCCTTCAAACTAGTTTAACCCGCCACATTATGTAAGTGCCTGTCCCAAGTCAGGAGCCTGTAATTCAGTGGTTGTCGTTTGTTGCTGTATATTATATTTTTTTTTCGTTCATTAATTGTACATAAATCAGGCTATGGCATGGTATTGGTTGCAAAAATTCGATATTTTTCATTTAAATGCAATATTTCTTATTTAATTGGTATATTTCTTCATTTAAATGCAATATTTTTTTATTTGAATGGTATATTTTTTCATTTAAATGCAATATTTTTTATTCAAATGGTATAATTTTTCATTCAAATGGTATAATTTTTCATTCAAATGGTATAATTTTCATTCAAATGCAATAGTTTTTATTCAATTGGTATAAAATGTCATTTGAATGCAATATTGTTTATTCAATTGGTATAGTAGTTTTTTATTTATATGCAATAATTGCATTATGGGACATTGGTTGACGTCATAAGGTCAAATTTGCAACAACGTTTGTGATTGGTCGGAAATTGTTTGGATTTCTCACCTTTCTTTCTAAACATGGGTGACCAAGAATTAAAAAACGCGTCAGAATATCGCCCCTCTAACTAAATCTAACGTTCGTGCGAGTCCTGCACTGGCTGTTAAAATCTTGTGGTCATAACTAGTATTTCTATTTCAAAATTTCGATGGTCAAAACGTTCGGTCCACGTTTCAAAAACCGTTTCATTGTATATGGATTTATATGCAAGTATATCGGTTTTTTTAAATAGATTAGACATGGTTGGTTTTCCCGTTTGAATGGTTTTACACTACTAATTTTTTGGGGCCCTTTATAGCTTGCTGTTCGGTTTGAGCCAAGGCTCCGTGTTGAAGACCGTACGTTGACCTTTAATGGTTTACATTTACAAATTATGACTTGGATGGAGAGTTGTCTCATCGGCACTCATACCACATCTTCTTATATCTATATACAACGTAAACCAGACGTTTTTCAGACTGTTTTCTTTTTTAATAAATCCTTTGCCGCGCGTTGCGTACTGATTGATAACTCAGTCTGGGAGAACAAGATTTATTTCAGTACCAGTTGTAATTAGGTTTGAGCAAACTTCCAGTAATTGCAAATACTCTTATGTCGGTGCTTTGTGTCTATTGTCTTAATGTTAGTTTTTTTGTGTGTCTCGTATCGATCTTTTGAGTTAATTTGCTGATTTGTGCAGGTTGTTATTTTATTGTACTGTTACACCACTGTCCCAGCTTCCGGATGGGTTGCTCACAAACATGTTGTTGTTCTGTTACACCGCTGTCCCAGATTAGGGGGAGGATTGGGATCCCGCTAACATGTTTAGCCCCGCCACATTCTGTATGTATGTGCTTGTCCCAAGTCAGGAGCCTGTAATTCAATGGTTGCCGTTTGTTGCTTTGTTATACATATTTGTGTTCCGTTCATTTTTTTGTACATTAATTCGGCCGTTAGTTTTCTCTATTGAATTGTTTAACATTTTTGATTTCGGGGCCTTTTATAGCTGACTATGCGGTGTAGGCTTTGCTTATTGTCGAAGGCCGTACGGTGACTTACAGCTGTTGATTTCTGTGTCATTTGATCTCTTGTGGAGAGTTGTCCAATTTGCAATCATACCACATCTTCGTTTTTATATCCACCCTGCCATATTCTTTATTTGCCTGTCCCAGGGATGGAGTCTGTAGTTTAGTGGTTGTCGTTGGTTCCTGTCTCGACTCATATTTGATATTTTGTAAATTGTTTTGTTATGTATAATTAGGCTGTTAGTTTTTTCGTTTGAATTGTTCACACTTTTCATGTCGGGCCTTTTATAGACGACTTTACAGTATCAGGTTTTTGTCATTGTTGAAGGCCTTACGATTGTCTACAAAAAGCATTAGTCTACATGACGGCAAAAAGTTCTACAGAGCTTATGTTTGTAGTATTTCATGTAACCCGACTTAAAATAAATTTTTCTTATCTTATCTATAATTGCTTACATCCACTTCATATGTGAACTCCGGTGGATAGTTGCCTTATTAGCAATCATATTCCATCTCTTCATTTTTATATTATATACGTGACGTCTAAACTCGTGTTTTCCTGAACAAGCATGAAATAATTTTCACTGGGCGTTAAAATTAGCAACAAACAATCAATCAATTTAAACTTGTGTTAAATAAGAGGAAAACCATTTGATATTTATTTATTTGTTGGGGTGGGGGACAGAAGGATTTCATATATGAATATGGTTGCCTGGTAAGAACTGAAAAATAGGCATGGTTAGCGACAGATTGAAATGAATAATAATGCCCTCTCTTCTCTTCCCCATCCTTCATCTATAAATTTAGACCGACCACCACGGAATAGCCCAATAGTGTTGAAATTAGCGTTAAACATCAATCAATCAAAATCCCTTCCCTAGAATATCAAATAATCGTCCCTTAACTGTTATTGTCCGTGTAGTTCTTATATTTATCCAGCTTATCGTCCTACAGGGATGTCCTACTAAGGCTGTCATACCATAAAAATGTTTATAAAACAGCTCACATTCTAATATATCTGCATTCATAAATTTATTAATTTCATTTAGACTAAACGACGCCATGTTTGTTATGTGCCTCTGTCGTCAACCTATCAAAAAAGAACAGGTGAAAGAGAGCCAGAAGGTCTTCCCAATGCAAAAAAAAAAAAACAGAAATGGACTTCTGACTCACTTCCGAAAAACAAAAAACAAAAAAACGCGCCCCATTGATATGCTTTAAAAACGCCTTGCCCCTACCCTTTTTTCCAAAAAAAATGGCATTATTAAATATATAAACATATATATATATATAATCATCAAAATTAAAATGCTATTGTATTTTTATAAGGTCTACTTTATTACATGACCTGGGACTAATGACATCTATATATAAGTCCTAGCATACATTAATTATTATAATATGAATATGTTTCTTGTTTTAATAACCACATATGATGCTATGCATGAGTCACCATTTATCAGGACAGGAATTGGGTTTACATAGAGAGGATAAGGGACGACATCAGAAAATCAATGAAGGATAAAAAACTTAATTCAAATAGTTTGGGGGGGGGGGGGGGTCAAAATTGCTGCAAGTTTTGTTTAATTAACATCTATTTTATATATATCCTTATTGGTCAATCAATTTTTCCCAAATTAAGTTAAAAAGAGGGGGGGGGGGGGGTAGGGGGTCAGTGAAAAAACTATATGAATTAAGTTTTTTTTTATCCTACATTGAACTTTTGATGTCGTCCCTAATGTGCAAAAAAATAGATAAGGGGCGGGACCAAACCTATAGATATCATAATAAAGAAATGATAAAATATACAGAATACGTTGATTGACTTTTTGGTTGCCTTATGTCCAGTGGCAAATATGTCACGCATGTTTAGGACAAATATAATAGAGATCAAAGGATAAAGAATAGAGTGAAATGGTAAAAACTAAAAGATACAGAATTATAGAAACCCTTATAGACACCGAGTGTGTCACAAAATAAACTTGTATACCCCCCTTCCCAATGCAGTATTGAAAGGTAAATCATTTAAAAGATAAAATATGTTTTGAAATATGCCCTGCATACTTATTTATGCAAAGACATATATATAGTAACTATTGAACTACTGTGGGGCTTGAAAAAAATCTATTTAAGGGATTCGGAGATGAGAACAGTAAAAAAAAAACTCAGCAACGAATCCTAAATGTAAAATGATTTGCAGCATAAGACATGAGAGCACATATTATAGATAGTATTAAATATGAAGTTCACGCCTCATATAGTGAAGTCCTATGTCAAAGGACTATTGTTGTAACATGGGTTAGTAACTGGTTCCAATTTATCCTGAATTGTCTTTATTAAAGAATTAGTTCCGGAGTATAACAGCTTATGTCTCTACTTGTGGGTTTCTGGTTCTGCTGTCGTAATTAGGTGATTTTTTTTCTACATGTAGTAAAAAAGAGGGGGCTTAGTCCAAAAAATTGTAACGTCCTGGATGCTTTTTATTCTTTTTTCATGTGTGCCTCCCTGCAACGTCTCTCAGAAGATCAAGAAAAGTAAAAAATGATATAGCACTAAAGAACGTCATGATTACATGTATCAGGACTTAGAAGGGGGAGGGGGGCTAGCTATGTATTTTTTTTTTTATTTCAATGTGAAGACTGTAGGAGAGTTTCTTCAGAAAAGGTTTTCATTGGAGGTGTTTTTGCCATGCACGCAGGCATCTGTTTCTATCCACGAACAAGTTGTGTGTCAAATTAATTATTATTACTTGTCACTCGCATTTTTTGCTCGTCCTGGCCATTATTGGCATTAACAGCCAGAGCACGAACTCGCACGAACGCCAAATTTAGTTAGAGGGGCGATATTCTGACGCGTTTTTTAATTCTTGGTCACTCAAGTTTAGAAAGAAAGGGGAGAAATCCAAACAATTGACGACCAATCACAAACGTTGTTGCAAATTTGACCTTATGACGTCAAAGACTTTCCCATAATGCAATTATTGCATATAAATAAAAAACTACTATACCAATTGAATAAAAAATATTGCATTCAAATGACGTTTTATACCAATTGAATAAAAAATATTGCATTTGAACGAATATTATACCACTTGAATGAAAAATTATACCATTTGAATGAAAAATTATACCATCTGAATAAAAATTTTGCATTTAAATGAGAAAATATACCATTCAAATAAAAAATATTGCATTTAAATGAAGAAATATACCAATTAAATAAGAAATATTGCATTTAAATGAAAAATATCAAATTTTTGCAACCAATACCATGCCATATCAGGCCGTTAGTTTTCTCGTTTGAACTGTTTTACATTTGTCATTTCGGGGCCTTTTATAGCTGACTATGCGGTATGGTTTTACTCATTGTGTAAGGCCGAACGTTGACCTATAGTTGTTAATTTCTGTGTCATTTGGTCTCTTGTTGAGAGTTGTCTTATATGCAAATATACCACATCTTCTTTTTTTTATATTCAATCATACCATATCTTCTTTTTTATATTATGTTAATGGTTAATCAGAAATATTGATTTCGTCCTGTGATATTTTTAAACGCGTTCACAGTTATGTAACTTGTAATTCCTTCTTTTGCCTACTTTATTTAATGCTTTAAAAAAAACTTGAAACAGTTTTCTTAGGGTATGTACATGACTGTGTAGCCTGTAGCAACGCTCAATTTCTCTTCCCCTATCCAACAACATACCATCTTTCCCGGCCTTCATCGCGGTCGAACCACATTATAGAACCTACCTTTTAATTGTTCATTTATTATCGTCTACGTCCTGAGTGGGCATGACATATTTGCCAAATGTCGTTAAGCAAGCAGCAATTATGATTTACATTGTAACCTACTTTTCAATGTTTGTATCAAGAAAAGAAAACTGTAAATTCGATATATTATGTATTTGTTTTTTTAACTGGTTACCTCGTCTTTTCTGCCAATAGGGTATGACTTCTCAAAACTGGGTGAAGTATTCCAGTTTATGAATCAGGACAGAGCGAACTGTGATGGAAAATGGATAGAAGAAAATCTGGTTCCTTCTAAATACAAAAATAAAGGTAAACTCCATTGCAATTATTAAAATGAAAATTGACAGATATTTCTTCACTTTTATTTTCCTTTACACATGTATAATTATTTTAGTATACATCTTTCTATGTTGTGATATTAAACTATTGTTTCAGGTAGGATGAAGGTTGGCGCCTATAAAAACGTTTAAACCCGCTGCATTTGTTTGCACCTGTCCTAATTCAGGTACCTGATGTTCAGTGGTTGTCGTTTGTTAATGTGGTTCATAAGTGTTTCTCGTTTCCCGTTTTTTATATAGATTAGACCGTTGGTTTTCCTGTTTGAATAGTTTTACACTTGTCATTTTTGGGGCCCTTTATAGCTTGCTGTTCGGTGTGAGCCAATGCTCCATATTGAAGGCCGTACTTTGACCTATAATGGTTTACTTTTACAAATTGTGGATGGAGAGTTGTCTCATTGGCACTCATACCACATCTTCTTATATCTATATGTCTTCATCTTAGTTTTTGCCGACTAAAACAATGAGTGTGCGTATTCACTAAAATTCTAAAGTTATCCAAACTGAAAGTGTACATAAGTATGAAAGGCGTTATGGTCAATGGTGACTCTTATATGTATATGTCATTTTAAGTAAAGTTACTATTGATTGAAGTTTTATTCCCATTACTCCTTTAATTTTATTTTGTATAGTGTCGATGTGATGTTGAACAAATACAACTACACTGTAATTTTTGTACGTTCCTTCTTTGTATAGGTTTTTGATGTTCTTAGGTAAAAAAAAAACCCACTATAATATTCCGGAAAATATTTTGATATAAGGAACAAGGACAGTTGAACTATCGTCAAATGTATGTCTGTATCATCAAATTTTAAACATTTTTATACTCATGTATACTATAGTTTGCTAGATAACAATAATAATGCAATGTAATGGATAGATCGCATTAGCTGTATTTGGCCAAACTTCTGGGTTATCAATGATCTTCAACTTCGTATTTTATTTGGCATTTTTACCTTTTTTGATTCGAGCGTCACTGATGAGTATTTTATAGACAAAACGCGCGTCTGGCGTACACAATTTCAATCCTGGTATCTATGATGAGTTTATTAAGTTTGATATCGAACTGAATGCATGTTTAGTTGGGCATGGTGTTTTTTTATTGTTTTTGTATGCGTTTGTCTTCTTAGTTGGCTACGAGGTTTTAAAATTTAACGAGACACAACATATTTTAAAGCATTGGTTCTAACAGTCAATAAAGATAAAATTCCCGTTTATTTCAGACGAAATCAGGACAATACTGGACATCGGTTGTGGGGTTGGTAGAATAACTGTAAACATGGCTAAGTATTTTCCTGATGCTAAACTTATTGGAATAGATATAGATCAGTATGCAATAGAAACTGCGCTAAAACTGAAGGACGAGGAAAAACTAACAAACGTTGAATTCTATCTTATGGGTGCGGAAGATTTAAAAAGAGAATGGACAGGAATGTTTGATTGGGTGACAATGCTTAACGTTCTGAACGATCTACCAAATCCAGATCCATGTCTTAAACAAGCTTTACGTGTAATGAAAGATGATGGCGTAATGACTATTCTGGATCCACTGTGTCATTCGGATCCGAAACTAAACGTTGGAAGTAAACTGCATGCATCTACGCTTACAATGAGCTGTTATGTTTGCCTCCCAAGTAGTTTGTCAGCACCACCAGCAGTGGGTAATGGAATTGGCTGGGGATTCGAAAACAGAGCAAAATACCTGAAACAAAATGGACTAACAGTACATGGAGATGATTCAGTTGCTGTCATCCATTGTTCTAAAGCCGGAATACTGTAAACCAACTTATTTTCGCGGATACTTTATTTCGCGTTTAGCCCATTCTAGTCCACTTCGCGGCGGTTTAATTCCGCGATTTTCTAATTTACTTGATGAAGCTACGTAAGGAAAGATCCAAGTTTTACATATTCGCGACGATTTATATTCGCGTTATTTTTCTACTCGCGAAAGTCGCGATAATAAATTGCTCACGAAAATTAGTTGGTTTACAGTATAGCCATGACAATTGTTTTCATTCGATTTTGTAAAACTTTTTTTTTTCTTCAGTAAACTGATCGTTCGATGTTTTTTAAATTGACAAAAAATAAATATATATTCATGAAACATATTTGAAACATTATTACCTTGTATCATATTGATACATAAAATAAGGAAATGTGATATGATTGCTAATGAGAAAACTATTCATTGGAGACAAAAGAATGATGAAGTAAACAACTCTAGGTCAATTTATGGCCTTCAACAATGACAAAAACCAATATCGTAGTGTCAGCTATAAAAAGCCCCGCATAACAAAATATGAAACAATTCAAAAGAAAAAAAAACAATGGCCTGATTTATGCATAAAAAAATGAACCAAAAACAGATTTTGTAGACAGCAACCAACAATAACGACTGAATAACAGGCTTCTGACTTCGAACAGATACATATCTCATATTTTTATGTTTCAAAATTTGTGTAATGTACATGTTCAAAAAGTTATGCCCCATTATAACTTGGGAAATTGCAAATTTTCAGTTTCCGCACTCTAACTTAAGTTTATCTAATCCAAATTGTATGAAACTCATACACGATGCTAAGAACCGCAACATGCAGACATTGGATTTGTGCAGTTAGTCATTTACCGTTCTAGAGTTATGCCCTTTTTAATTTGGAAAATTACAAAGCTTGAGCGGGGGCATCCGTGTCCTCAGACCCATTCTTCTTTTGTCTCACTTCACCACTATTCTTCTGTCTGCGTTCGCAATTTTGTTTTTAGGCGATTTTTCTTAATGAAGAAAAACTACTAAATTTCATTTACACATTTAGGGCAAATATTGATATGTTGTAATCAAATATGGATTTGAGACCAGTTTTTAAATACAGGAGAAACTCAATGAATGTCAACTGCCCGGTTTTTTTTTTTTGTTTTTTTTTGGGGGGATGGGGGGGGGGGGGGGATTTATGTTGCCACGTCTTTAGTTTTCAAAGTACTAATTTGTGAAATCTGCTTATCTTTTCTAATTTAGCCATACTATTGTCTGTCTTTTCTAAACTAATATTCCATTGATCGATTCCGTTCCGGACTATTTTCCTTCACTATATCATTAGTGTAGAGTAGTTTGCGGGTCGGAGCTGGAACTGCCATAGAGTTATAGAGTTGATGAGTCTTTCCTTGATTCATGATTTTATGTTGCCCGTGGTTATTTCACCCGATTTATTTAGATGAGAAAAAAAAAAGCAAACTCTATGTATGCGACCTGAACTACTTAGGTATTTGTATATCAGGAAATCCTTGAAGAAACAATTTTGTTTTCGTTAAAACAAATTAAAACTAAAATAAGAATAAAAAAAAAAATCGGTCAATATTATTCGTTTTCAATTCTACTGTGTATGGTGTACGATTAGGGTCAACAGTACTTAAATAGTAGAATTGCATTATGAATATGCAAATGCTATATATTTATTGAAGTAAATGCAATAATTATCACTGCAAATACTATATTAATTGTAGCAAATGCAATAATTATTTCTGCAAATGCTATATTAATTGTAGCAAATGAGATTATTATTTCTTTAAATACTACAATTTTAAAAATTGTATTCGTTTTACTAAAACTATTTTATTAATCCGAAGTAAATATTAGCACATGCAACATATTGTCGCATGAGCAGCATTTCAATTTTTTATTGAACCACATACTGTTTTGATCACGCCAGCACAGCAGGGTGTGGTGCCATGTTTACAATGTAGCTTTAGGCTTCTTAAGTATTTAATATAATTTAAAGATAATAACAATAACAAGTATTCCCTACAGATAACATGTAACAGATGTACAGGGCACATGTTTTAATCTGTTTATAATACGCATTATCTACTGTCACATACATAAAATAGGTTAAAAATATAATAAATCACTTACAACAGATGCGAATCAAAAACTCATCTATTTTTGGCCTTAACTATACATATTTAAACGATTAAAATAAGTAAGTATTCAAATGTGGCTAAGGATTTTTTACGTATTTATATGACCGGAATTATGGTACATAATATACTGTAACATAAAACAATTGATAACTTTTCCAACTAGTAGAGAGCTGAGAGAGGCAGCTTTTTCAAATGTACATACACGGGTATAATTATGTTTATTTCAATATAAGATACTTACCATTCATACGGCATATGACGTACAAATTCTTTCATATTTTCGATATACTTTTGATGAGTTTCCGACAACCGAATTTCAAAAAGAAGTTGGGTAATTTCCCCCGAGATTGTTTTACAAACGGGGACATGCTTAGGAAATTAGAAAACATATTGATGTACAAATATCAAGAGATTCTACAAGATGTACTAAAGACAAAAAGTACAGTTCTTCTAAACGTGTGTTTTTTTCAAGAATGAATATTGCTATTGAAGAAAATATAGCATATTTAACTTTTTTTAAATTTTTATCTTCCATTGAAGACTTTTACCAAAATGAATTGATTTGTATCAGAGAGACACTAATGTCGAAGAACTTTGGATTTCGTTAGGAGTCCTTCTTAATATGTACTTTTTTATAATAATAAATTAGATGTGCCGACATTTATCAGCATTGCAGTAAGTCATATGAGGCAACGATGATTGGTCAAAAGTTCCTTATACGTCAGTATATGACTCTACAAACTTTTAGTCCACCCGTGAATCTATGATACTGTAAATTGTAACACTGTAATGGTTAGACGACTTTTATAAAACGGTTCATACCGGATTACATCATGTAAATAAAAATATTTATGAAGAGAAACTACGTTTTATTTTTTATTGTCAATGTGTATATTCAAATTTATGCCTTAAATTCATTGCTAAACAACGAAATATAACGTAGCAAAATCATAAAAAAATATTTGGTGAATTACTTGACCACATATAATTATCTTCTCAATTTACCAGTTTACTCTGAACAAAAATGTTGTTATGGTTACACACATGCGCTGTTAAACTGTATACTAAATGTGTTATTATGTTGATTTTTGTTTTTCCAAATTTATTGGGTGTAAAAGTGTTGAACGAAGCACATTTTATGAGAAGCGTGGAAGCGCTTGATTCTTAAAATGTTTGCACGATCAACGCTTTTACAACTCTATAAAACATTCAGTTCTCATAATTACATGTATATGTTACATTCTAATATGACGGTCTTCAAACGCTTTGAGTGCACATCCGTGGTAAAATATGAATATATTGATGACAACGTCATGAATGGTCCTATCTAACTCCACCGTCATCACAGTCTGCATTTTATGAACGAGTTACCGAGGTCAGACGATGATGACATCATTGAACGATGACGTAACAATATAAGCATTCTTCGGGAAAATGCACGAATTTGAAAATGAAAGTCGTCAAAATATGAAACCATAAACAAACGATGATAAGAATTTGTTGAAAGCCCATTTTCTTAAATAAAAAGGAAGATAATGATGTGTTATGATTACTACTGAGTCAACTATCTACCAGAGACCAAATGACGTAGAAGTTATGTCAATTATAGACCTGACATGACAAAATGCCAAAAAAATCATACGAGAAAACCAGCGGCCTGATTTATGTACAAAACAATAAACGAAAAGCAAATATGATGTACAGTAATAAGTGACAATCACTAAATTACTGGATTGGCACATACACAAAAATGTGGAGAGCTGCTCAAACATTCCTAAAGTTCGGACAGTGTTGTAACAACACACAGCACAAGAACTTGCTGTAAAAATCCAAACTGCAAATGTTTTTGCATTTCAGTTTCCACGATTGTATACAGACTCAGGGTATCGGTACAAAGCAAGGTATTGATCTAGTACAAAGCAAGGTATCGGTCTAGTACCAAAGCAAGGTATAGGTCTAGTACAAAGCAAGATATCGGTCTAGTACAATGCAAACTATCGGTCTAGTACAAAGCAAGATATCGGTCTAGTACAAAGAAAGGTATCGGTCTAGTACAAAGCAAACTATCGGTCTAGTACAAAGCAAGGTATCGGTCTAGTACAAAGCAAGGTATCAGTCTAGTGCAAAGTAAGGTACCGGTCTAATACAAAGCAAGGTATCGGACTAGTACAAAGAAAGGTGTCGGTCTAGTAGTAATCAAAGTATCGGTCTAGTACAAATCAAGGTATCGGTCTAGTTCAAAGCAAAATATCGGTCTAGTACAAAACAAGGTATTGGTCTAGTACAAAGCAAAGTATCAGTCTAGTACAAAGCAAGGTATCAGTCTAGAACAAAGCAAACAATCAGTCTAGTACAAAGCAAGGTATCGGTCAAGTACAAAGCAAGGTATCGGTTTAGTGCAAAGCAAGGTACCGGTCTAGTACAAAGCAAGGTATCGGACTAGTACAAATAAAGGTGTCGGTCTAGTATAAAGTAAGGTATCGGTCTAGTAAAAAGCAAGGTATCGGTCTAGTTAAAAGCAAGGTATCGGTCAAGTGCAAATCAAGGTATTAATCTAGTACAAAGCAAGATATAGGACTAATACAAAGAAAGTTATTGGACTAGTACAAAGCAAACTATCAGTCTAATAAAAAGCAAGGTATCGGTCTAGTACAAAACAAAGTATCAGTTAAGTGCAAAGCAAGGTTCCGATCTAGTACAAAGCAAGGTATCGGACTAGTACAAAGAAAGGTGTCGGTCTAGACGTAATCAAAGTATCGGTCAAGTACAAAGCAAGGTATCTGTCTTGTACAAAGCAAACTATCAGTCTAGTACAAAGCAAGGTATCGGTCTTGTACAAAGCAAGGTATCGGTTTAGTGCAAAAGCAAAGTATCGGTCTAGCACAAATCAAGGTATCAGTCTAGTACAAAGCAAAGTACAAAGCAATGATGTGTTTGTGCTTTTGATTTTGCCATTTGCTGAGGGACTTTCCGTTTTGAATTTTCCTCAGAGTTCAGTATTTTTGTGATTTAACTTTTTTCGGTCTAATTCAAAGCAAGGTTTCGGTCTAGTACAAAGCAAGGTATCGGTCTAGTACAAAGAAAGGTACCGGTCTAGTAGTAATCAAAGTATTGGTCTAGTAGAAAGCAAGGTATCGGTCTAGTACAAAGAGAGGAATAGATCTAGTTCAAAGCAAGGTATAGGTCTAGTACAAAGCAAGGTATAGGTCTAGTACAAAGCAAGGAAAGGTAAAGTAAAAAGCAAGGTATAGGTCTATTACAAAGATAGGTACAGGTGAAGTACAATGCAATCTATCGGTCTAGTACAAAGCAAGATATAGGTCTGGTACAAAGCAAGATATAGGTCTGGTACAAAGCAAGATATAGGTCTGGTACAAAGCAAGGTAAAGGTTAAGTAAAAAGCAAGGTATAGGTCTATTACAAAGACAGGTACAGGTGAAGTACAATGCAATCTATCGGTCTAGTACACAGCAAGATATAGGTCTGGTACAAAGCAAGGTATAAGTCTGGTACAAAGCAAGATATAGGTCTAGTACAAAGCAAGGTATAGGTCTAGTACAAACATAGTTATCTGTCTAGTACAAAGCAAGGTATAGATCTAGTACACAGATAGGTATCGGCCTAATACAAAGCAAGGTATCGGTCTAGTTCAAAGACAGGAATATAGATCTAGTAGAAAGCGAGGTATAGGTCTAGTACAAAGCAATGTATAGGTCTAGTACAAAGCAAGGTAAAGGTTTGGTAAAAAGTAAGGTATCGGTCTATTACAAAGATAGGTATCGGTCTAGTAAAATGCAAATTATCGATCTAGTTTAAATCAAGATATAGGTCTGGTACAAAGCAAGATATCGGTCTAGTACATGGCAAACAATTGATCTTGTACAAAGCAAGATATAGGTCTAGTACAAAGCAAGGTATCGGTCTAGTACAAACATAGGTATAGATCAAGTACAAAGCAAGGTAAAGGTCTAGTACAAATCAAACTATCGGTCTAGTACGAAGCAAGGTATCGGTCTAGTACACAGCAAGGTATCAGTCTAGTGCAAAGCAAGGTGCCGGTCAAATACAAAGCAAAGTATCGGACTAGTACAAAGAAAGGTGTCGGTCTAGTAGTAATTAAAGTATCGGTCTAGTACAAATCAAGGTATCGGTCTAGTACAAAGCAAGGTATCGGTCTAGTACAAAGCAAGGTATTGGTTTAGTACAAAGCAAGGTATCAGACTAGTACAAAGGAAGGTATCTGTCTAGAACAAAGCAAACTATCAGTCTAGTACAAAGCAAGATATCGGTCTAGTACAAAGCACGGTATCGGTTTAGTGATAGCAAGGTACCGGTCTAGTACAAAGCAAGGTTTCGGACTAGTACAAAGAAAGGTGTCGGTATAGTATAAAGCAAGGTATCGGTCTAGTACAAAGCAAGGTATCGATCTAGTTCAAAGCAATGTATCGGTCTAGTGCAAAGCAAGGTATTAATCTTGTACAAAGCAAGGTATCGGACTAATACAAAGAAAGTTATCGGTCTAGTACAAAGAAAACTATCAGTCTAATAAAAAGCAAGGTATCGGTCTAGTACAATGCAAGGTACCGGTTTAGCGCAAAGCAAGGTACCGGTCTAATAGAAATCAAGGTATCTGACTAGTACAAAGCAAGGTGTCGGTCTAGTAGTAATCAAAGTATCGGTTCTAGTACAAAGCAAGGTATCGGACTAATACAAAGCAAGGTATCGGTCTAGTTCAATGCAAGGATTCGGCCTAGTACAAAGCAAGGTATCGGTTTAGTGCAAAGCAAGGTATCAGTCTAGTACAAAGCAATGTAAAAAACAATGATGTGTTTGTGCTTTTGATTTTGCCATTGGATAAGGGACTTTTCGTTTTGAATTTTCTTTGGAGTTCAGTATTTTTGTGATTTAACTTTTTTCGGCCAAGGTATTGGTATAGTAGAAAACAAGGTATCGGTCTAGTACAAAGAGAGGTATAGATCTAGTACAAAGCAAGGTTTAGGTCTAGTACAAAGCAAGGTATAGGTCTAGTACAAAGCATTGTAAAAGTTGAGTAAAAAGGAAGGTATAGGTCTATTACAAAGATAGATACAGGTTAAGTACAATGCAAACTATCGGTCTAGTACAAAGGAAGATATAGGTCTGGTACAAAGCAAGGTATACGTCTGGTACAACGCAAGATATCGGTGAAGTACAATGCAAACAATTGATCTTGTACAAAGCAAGATATAGGTCTAGTTCAAACATAGGTATCTGTCTAGTACAAAGCAAGGTGTAGATCTAGTAGAAAGATAGGTATCGGTCTAGTACAAAGGAAGGTATCGGTCTAGTTCAAAGAGAGGTATAGATTTAGTAGAAATCAAGGTATAGGTCTAGTACAAAGCAATGTATAGGTCTAGTACAAAGCAATGTATAGGTCTAGTACAAAGCAATGTAAAGGTTTGGTAAAAAGCAAGGTATAGATCTATTACAAAGATAGGTATCGGTCTAGTAAAATGCAAATTATCGGTCTAGTTTAAAACAAGATATAGATCTGGTACAAAGCAAGGTACAGGTCTGGTACAAAGCAAGATATCGGTCTAGTACAATGCAAACAATTGATCTTGCACAAAGCAAGATATAGGTCAAGTACAAAGCAAGGTATCGGTCTAGTACAAACATAGGTATAGATCTAGTACAAAGCAAGGTATAGGTTTAGTACAAAGCAAGGTATAGGTCTAGTTCAAAGCAAGGTATCAGTCTAGTACAAAGCAATGTATCAGTCTAGTACAAAGCAAGGTATCGGTCAAGTTCGAAGCAAGATATCGGTCTAGTACAAAGCAAGGTACCGGTCTTGTACAAAGCAAGGTCTCGGACTAGTACAAAGAAAGATGCCGGTCTAGTAGTAATCAAAGTATCAGTCTAGTACAAAGCAAGGTATCGGTCAAGTACAAAGATAGGTATCGGTCTAGTACAAAGTCAAGGTATCGGTCTAGTACAAAGAGAGGTATAGATCTAGTACAAAGCAAGGTATAGGTCTAGTACAAAGCAAGGTATAGGTCTAGTACAAAGCAAGGTATAGGTCTAGTACAAAGCAAGGTAAAGGTTTAGTAAAAAGCAAGGTACAAGTCTATTATAAAGATAAGTATCGGTCTAGTACAATGCAAACTATAGGTTTAGTACAAAGCAAGATATAGGTCTGATACAAAGCAAGATATATTTCAAGTACAATGGAAACAAATGATCTTGTACAAAGCAAAATATAGGTCTAGTACAAAGCAAGGTATAGGTCTAGTACAACGCAAGGTATCGATCTAGTACAAAGCAAGGTATTGATCTAGTACAACGCAAGGTATCGGTTTAGTACAAAGCAAGGTATCGGTCTAGTACAAAGCAAGGTATAGATCTAGTACAAAGAAAGGTATCGATTTAGTACAAAGCAAGGTATAGGTCTAGTGCAAAGCAAGGTATCGGTCTAGTACAAAGCAAGGTATCAGTCTAGTACTCAGCAAGGTATCGTCTAGGACAAAGCAAGTTAGAGGTCTAGTTCACAGCAAGGTATCGGTCTTGTTCAGTACACAGCAAGGTATCGGGTTAGTATAAAGCAAGGTATCGGTCTAGCACAAAGCAAGGTGTCGGTCTAGTACAAAGCAAGGTATTGGTCTAGTATAAAGCAAGGTATCGGTCTATAACAAAGCAAAGGATAGGTCTAGTATAAAGCAATGTATCGGTCTAGTACAATGAAAGTTGTCGTTCTAGTACAATGCAAGGTATCGGTCAAGTATAAAAGCAAGGTATCGGTCTTGTATACTGCAAGGTATCAGTCTAGTACAAAGCAAGGCATTATTCATTATACATTACAAAGCAATCATACTGAATATGCATCATATTTTTGCAGCTGCGCTTTTCGCGGTCATCTGTCATTTAATCAATAAGGACAGTTATCATACTGTGGAAAACAATTATCTGTTGCTCTTCACAGTGAAGAGCAAACTTTAAAATTTAACCGCTTCGGTAGTGATTCATGTTATATTTTCCACTACACTCTTTACGTCATTCAATTAAAAAAATGGTAACCACGGTGTTTATATATATTCAATATAAGTAAACCGGAGTACTAGCATTCTAAAATATTTCATCAACAAAACATGGTACAATGAAATCTTGAATTACAGGTTTTTTATACATTTTACGAAATAAGTCTGGTGTAACAACGAACAATAATAATATAAAGGAACACTTTAAATTGATATAATTACAATTTGTTTTCAGGATTACATTTTTAACATGGTAGCATATGTTCAAGGTCATAATGTACTGGTTACTTTTGCACATACGAAGAATTCTAGCCCGTCGGCTACAAAATATATTCTAAAAATGACAATGAGATAACACAACAAATGAAAATTATAATCGTGCTCAAGGCGTAGATTTATAATATTTCAATTAAATAAAATCTGCTTCATTTACTATATAAGTATATAAACTATGTTGTGTTAATCATTAGTACTTTGAACTCGAACCATGCTTCGATATATTCTACTTCTCGCCGTTTGCGTTATTGCAATTCAGGTAAGCAATAGTTTTCCATATATTTCAATTTTATTATTATTATCATTATTTCTTTTATTATCATCATTTTATTATTATTATTATTATTATTATTATTATTATTATTATTATTATTATTATTATTATGATTATTATTATTATTATTATTATTATTATTATCATTTTATTATTATGATTATTATTATTATTATTATTATTATTATTATTATTATTATTATTATTATTATTATTATTATTATTATTATTATTATTATCATTTAATTATGAGATGATGATGATGATGATTATGTGTTGTTTTTTTTTTACTTTTTTAACGTTTGTTTTTCTTCTTTGTTTCGTTCTATCTATTTATTTATTTATTTATTTATTTATTTATTTATTTATTTATTTATTTATTTATTTATTTATTTATTTGTTTTTCATTTAATCAACTTCGATAATTGTTAATTAGATTATGTTAAATTTTGTAGTATAATTAATTGAAACAAAATGTCAATTGACAAATATTTCAAACGAAACGCATTTTCTTCAGTTGTTGGAAAATTTAGAAATTTAACAAGCAAGTTGGAATGTTCTGCACGTCTCCTCCGAACTCATGCACATGATATACATTGTAGTATTGATATAAAATGGCGAATACACACAGTTTTTTTTATAAGATTTAGTATGACACGCTTAATAAAGCACCCAACTAATATGTCATTAAAATAATATAATCAGAGGAAATCTTACATTTTATTATCGTCTTCCTTTTTAGGCTCGATCACCACTAATTGGTAAGTAAAATTATATGTTGAAAGATACAATTATTACAATTTTGGAATAAATATTTATACAAGTCCCTGACTCTTCTCTGGTCCGATTGGTTCCTAAGCGTTCTTCTTGAGTTAAAGATTATTATGTGTCTGGGTATTAATCTTAGTTTCTTCAGCGTTGAATAGAACAAAAAAAAAACGTTAAATATAGGGGGGGGGGGGGGGGAATGAATTTACCAAAGCCTTTTACGGATTTTTTTATAAAGGGTTATTTTCGTGCAACGTTTTCGGTCTTTTTATTTCACGCGTTTCCGTGTTCAGACCCCCTTTACCACCCTCTTCTAATAGTTCGTTTGTGACCTGCTAAAGACGAAAGGACAGTACATGTCTTTGTGGTTGCTAATTTCAAACGAATACCACACGAAATATGCCCCTTTTATATTCACATACAATATATTGCATAACCTTTGACGAAGAACAAATCATAAACAGACTCTACATTTGCATACATGCCAAATTTGCAGTATTTTATAACACCAGGAAATTATATTGTTCGTGCTATAACAAAATACATCATCTCTTTTAAAAGACATTAAAATATTTAATAAACACAATAATAACGACGAACTTAAAATGACTCACACATTCATCAAACGCCTAATGTAATAGCAGACCCTAGCTGGTGTTTTATGTTATGTGATGGCCCCTGTTACTATTTACATTATTCATTTATCAGCAAATGTTGGATAATAATTGGCTAATTAAAAAAAAAAAACTCTTACTAACTGTAACAACCATTTGGTCATATAGCTTCTAACGTGTTCATGTACTTATACATCTTTTACATTCAAATGTTAGGGTTCTCAAGCATTCCTGGTGAAAGTTAACTGACAGAAGCACTATTTTGATTTTATATACTTTTGTCTTTTGGTCGTTTTGAGGGTTTTTTGACATGGCGTTGTCAGTTTGTCATCATCTTATGAGTTTGAATGTCGCTTTGGTATCCTCTTCCTCTCTTCGAACGGCACAAATTGATAAAGTTTTATTTACTTTTATTTTTTTTTAGACAAATGCAGTAATAAGCCACTATGCATGATGTTATGTAAATACGGTAACCACGTCGACCAAGATGGATGTGCTATTTGTAAATGCAAACAACCTCGTAAGTAAACACTAAACGCATAAATAGTAAATTATTTTAAGTTATTGCTGATCCAATCTGATTAAGATACAGATCCTGTGTCCACGCTTTGCTGACAAGGATCTGACAACACTCCATTCTTCTTTCTGTTTTAAAGAACTTTTGGGATCCTCTGGTTTTTTCTTTAAAATACACACCTTAAAATATTTGAAGGCTGCAATTTCTTTGGCTGATGTATATATATATACCTATCAGAACAGAAAGTAGAACGGAATATAAAAATTGATGTAAATGTTTCTTGACATTGCAAATTGTCAGGAGCATCATGTTAACAATTTGTTTAAAAGCACAATACTGATCCAATAATATACAGCCTAGTTCTAGTGAACTGCTGTCTCGAGTTTATCAGCTCAAATTGCTTTCATTCTACTTGATTCAAAGGAAATGTTACATTAAAAAACCCAAGATTTTTGCTTTATCTATTTTCAGCTCACTGCCTAAATGTTATGTGTGCTATGTATTGTGAACACGGCTTTAGAGTTGGAGCTGATGGATGTCAAACTTGTAAATGCAAGCAGCCACGTAAGTCTATATGATATCTGAATCTTATATTCCAAATATTTCCACAATGATTTCTGGCTAAATTGAAATCAGCGCTTTTTAACAACATGTAATTTTTGATTATTTAAACTTTAGATATTTTTAACAACTTGCTTATTTTTGCTGATTCCATTTACGTGTGTGATGGAAGTGGACCGTTTTGTAATTTTATTATATGATTTAAGAAAGTAATTGCAAATATTGGGGGAGTGATGATTTTCAATGAAAAAGTTTATGTTTCAATTAAAACGTTTCAATTGAATTTTATCTACACATCTTTCATATCTCGTATTTGTTAAGGGTGATATTTAAACACATTTAGGAACCCCATATATTTAGCCAGTGCAGTGTTTTGTGATGATGCAATGCATTCTAATGTGCACGATACAATAAGATGTATGATAACCATTAGTGGAGCAGAATGGGCTGACTACCGGGCCCCTTGATATCACCGCTGGGTTTTGCTTTGGTTGGATTCGTCTTTTTATAATACCTGGTTTAACTTTTCCATGTTTTCCTTGATTATACTTATAGGAGGTCGTTATAGTCACCACTTATTAATTGTATTATACATTCAATAATTCAAAAACTGATTTCTCACTAAAGTGAAAGACGTTTCCATTCAAACCTGAACTGTTACCAGTTGCAGATAAATACCATGTGTCTAACTGGCCGCCTGATTAGTCCTTCATTGTATATTAGTATATAAGTATAAATCAATCTGACAAAATCTTAATCTCATGTACTTTTATTAACAAACGTACCTTAGCAAAGAACATACAACAGATAAACTATGCACTTAAAATATAACACTTAGATGTTCCGATTTGATATTTCAGCTCACTGTCAGCCTGTGAGATGTAAAATGTTCTGTGACCATGGGTTTAAAGTTGGTGCTGACGGATGTGAGATTTGTCAATGCAACAAACCACGTAAGCCTATAATTGTTTTTAAGTTTATTTGTTTAAAGAAGGGAACAGGACTCGCTTACCTTTTAAAGCACCTGGTTTTGATGCTACGGTGATGTTTATTGTACATTTTGTTTGTCTTGGTTATTCAGAGGTTACTTATTGGTTAAAAAACTTATTTTATTGTATTTTTAGAGGAAGTGAAACACATATTATGAAAACAAAATTAGAATGTGAAAAGTAAAATAACAACAAAACCGAACTCCGAAATAAATGTTATTGATACATTTTGTAATACACGTTGAATTAACGATGAGACACATGCCTTGAATTAAAGTACAATTTTGGTTTTCAAATTTTTGGTTCTAGGGTTCCTGATAAAGATAATCCGGAATTCTTAACATGTTACAATGTGTTAGCCAAATACACTTTGTTTTTTTATATTCTTGCACCAAGTGGTATCTAAGACTCTAATTAGATTATAAGTCTCCCGACGGTATCATAACCATAGCATTCAGTGGTACAGTTATATATAATTATCAAATGTATGTGAGTCCAGAAAAGTGCTTCAATCCCACTAAATGTATAAAGTGTTACATTCACATATAGTTTAGTATTAAATATAGATCGAATTCCGTCATTATATTTCAGCTCGAGCTGGGTAAGCATCCAAAAGATGATGGACAGAGTGCATGTATACAGTAACTAATGACAAAGACTTTGAGCGGATATGCATTCAATAAAAAATATTAAAGTTTATTTCTTATTTTTATTTCTTTTTCCTTACCGAATCAAGTCATAGTGTAACAGAAATTACTAGTCTTTGATCCTGACACAATATTTTAAATACCGTAAGCGAACTTCCAGTTTAAATATATTTGATTTGAAGCAGGCGAAATCGAAAATATTTCCTCAGGAATCAAGGATACCGAAAAATCTTTAAGTAAATATATTGTAATGTGCAAAAAAGTATACTACTTTAACCTCGAACTTGTATAACAGTTGTCTATAATCCAGTTATATCGACAACATCGAGAGATCAATTCAAACAGACATAATAGGTTAAGGTGACCCTACTTTGGATTCAGAAGCCAAAAACTGCGCACATCACACATATACAACGCAACTGACTAAAAAAATATATTAAACAAACGTCAAATTTATCTATCAAAGACAAACAAAAAATGTGTAGATTTTAAATTTGACGTCAATAGAAACGTTTTGTCGTTGATAGTACATACCGTATATATTAGACACTTTCTCAGTAAGGTTGAAATTAAGCAAATATAATTACAAAGGTAAAAACAACACAAACATGTGTTGTACATAGAACATCCATCAACTCATAAAGACCCAAGATATTCGACAATTAAAAATGCATGCCTCGAGGGTAAATAATATTTCACAATTATTGAAAAAAAAATATAATATAGTCAGTGAACATCTGACCATAGAGAATTATCAATGTTATATGATAGATGAATAGTAAAAGAGAGGCGAAATACACCAAAGTGACATTCAAACATATTAGTAGAAAATCAACCTACAACGACATGGCAAAAAGAAAACAACAGTATACAAAACAAAAAATAGAAAACTAAAGACTGAGCAACAACACCAAAAACTGGGAGTGATCTAAGATGCTCCGGACGGGTAAGCAAATTCTGCTCCACATGTGGCACTTGTCATATTGCTCACAAATGTGATAACTGTTTAAATGTTGCTATTACCCTACAGATAAACCTCTAGAACAAGTCTAGATACATCAATTTGTACAGTACATTTTTTGCTAATATGTGGGTCTGAACAAAAATAAATAAATAAATAAATAAATAAATGAATAACATTGAAAAAAAAAATAGATTGAGGGATTGGAATATAAATCTGCGGACGAGATTTTCTAATGAAAAATAAAAATAAAGTTGTAGTCATTCGTGACACAAAACATTCCGTCCTGATTGCCTTAGTTACAATGTTTCTGAGATTATTTAAAACGGTATCATCAAAATCAAGTTAATGAAAACAGCTGTCATATTCCTGACTTAGCAAGGCATTTTTCGAAGAAAATCGTGGGTTAAAAATGATTTTATAAAAAGCTAAACCTACCACCTGTAGGACAGTTGTTCATAGTTATAGGACACTAACATAGAATAGCCTGGTTTCAATATTTTAATTATAAAAGAAACAAAAATTAGGCTTCAAACCAATTTCACATATCATCAGAAACTTTGCAAAATCATATAAGCATGATTAAAAATAGTTACTGTACAAATAAATAAATATACATATTATCAACAATCGTATATTATAATAAGGACATGCCAAGTATAATATACGATCACAAATACCAAAGTTCAAGAGAAAATACAAATATTTGAATAGGCGAAAGGTTTATCAAATTTACGACTTAAAAACAAACACACGCGATTTCTACATTTTATACATGATTTGAAATTGTAGGAATATAAAAAAAAACACTTGGCTCTTAAATTTTTGTTTTGTTTGAGTGTTCGTGACTAATGTCAATCCAACAAAGAGCTTCGGACGCATGCAATTTATAAAGTGATGTTTTTATTTTTTTCAAACAAATCAGATATAAAAATTGAAGGCTTATTGTGACCGAAACCTAGTTCAATGGAAAAAAAACAACAACACTATTTTACAAAACGTTTATAATTTACTGTCAAAAACCGTCCAGAATGATAGTCCGAAAATGCTAGTAATAGTTAATTTCATTCAACGCAGTGTAAGTTAAACATATAATCTAAAGCACAGAAGCACAACTGTAGGTAAAATAGCTTGACCAAATTAATAAGAAAAATTCTACTATCAAAGGAATACCATAAAAAAACGTCTGCAGTGCGAGAATACTAAAAAACTGTAGTTACTTAAAGAACATGAACGTAATATATGTAAATCTGAACTTCCTGTATGGGGTCCAATACAGGATGACCATATGCTTCTAAAATCAGGTATTCATTACTCATTAACTGGGAATTAATAAAGAACAAACAAATTATTAGCGCAATGAGTTACAAATTTAAATCAAATCGAACATATACATTGAATAACTTGCAGAAATGGAAATTTGTTGAATATACAAATGCAAAGTAAAGCACCAAAAAGAATGTATACCATCCAACCGCTGCCACATGCAAATTTGATGATTATTTTGTTTTTCATTTGTGTAGTACTACCAAAGAAATAGAGCTTTTAAGTATTTAAGTTTAATCTGAAATTTTTATTTGCCGCTCTTCTTACGCTATGAGTACACATGCGTGGTAAATCTCGAAAATATTTTAAATCATCTAATCGGCGACATCATGATTTGTTTTGACTGTTCCAATCATACTCCAAGTCTTTTTACTTTTGGTGAATTAGTTACCCAAGATCATCGGTGTATATAATGTCGTCGAACAATCAACTCTAACTGTAACATTAGTATTATGTGGTTAAAATTTAAGCGGGAATGAAAAAGTCGTCGAAACATAGAAACATAGACGATCGATGACACGAAATTTCTTGAATAAAAGTAAGATGTATTAAATGTGTTCAAGTTAGTTATTATACAAATGAAATATATATAGTTCTGTATGGGTTCCATGAACACAAACTTGTAGGAAGCGATATACATACAACCTTTTTCATTGGACAGGGTCATTTTGTAATAAAGATCGTTCCATTCGTTTCTGACAAACACAAAGTATTTAAATTTTCATAACTTTTTAACTTTATCCCCCATGGTGTAAGTATGCTATATCAAATCGTTAAATCTCATTCAGTCTGTTTCCTTCTTCTGTTACGATACTGCTGGAGAAGGTGTTTGTCTTGACATGAAATATCATTGATATGGCCAGACATAGAATACACTAGCTGGATTTGGCAAAACCTTTCAAAATCTAAGTCCCAAATGTTCTTCAAGCTCGTACTTTATTTTGCATTTTATTTTTTTTTATTCGCGCATCACTGTTGAGCTTTGTGTATACGCAACGCACGTCTGCCGTATAAAATGTAAATTATTGTATCTGTGGTGAGTTTATAAATAGTGTGTTCAATTACGAAAACAACACATATATATCTTGATCTACAGCGTTTCGATCGTAAAGAATATCCGTCTCTGTCCTATTAGAATATTAATAATTCAAGAAGACTTTTTATATTAATTTTACTACAGGTTGGCATGTAATTCTAACTCGGCTGTGTATTTTTTTATGTGTTGGATTAAGTTGTTTTATGTAATGTATCCGTTTTTATTCTGTAGTTAGTCCCCACTTTGGTTTTATCATGTATATCTATTATATAGTCATTTTATAAGATTTACTGTTTGCAAAATTATAAATTATTTTAAATAATAAGGATGTTCTTGTCCCAGGCAGAACACCCTGGCCGTGTTAGGCGCAACTTTTTGGAAGTTTTGGTCCTCGGTGCTCTTCAGCTTTGTACTTGTTTTGGCTTTCAAACTTTTTTCATCTGAGCGTCACTGGTTGGTCTTGTGTGGACGAGACGCACGTCTGGCGTATTGAATTTTAAGCCTAGTACCTTTTGTTGGCTATTATTCGTGTGTTTCTTTGTCCTATATTTTCTCCCATTTATTTGTATTGTGGTCCTGTCATGTGATGTTGTCGTTTTGGTGTTGTGTTTGACGTTGCCATAAAAGCGGGAGGTTTGGCATGCCACAAAACCAGGTTCAACCCACCATTTTGTTCTTAAAATTTCCTGTCAGGAAAATGGCCATTGTTATATTATAGTTCGTTTCTGTGTGTGTTACATTTTAATGTTGTGTTTTTGTTGTGTCGTTGTTCTCCTCTTATATTTGATGCGTTTCCCTCAATTTTAGTTTGTAACCCGGATTTGTTTTTATCTCTATCGATTTATGAGTTTTCGAACAGCGGTATACTACTGTTGCCTTTATTTAACCCTTAGATATACAATTATGGCCCGCTGAAGAGGTGAATATTCACCGACTCAATGGGCCATAACTGTTTTTATCATACCGAACAAACAATTAAAAGTAAAATATTGTTACAGATTGTCAAAACACTTACGTTAGAAAACTATTTTGTGTCTATTAACATTTTTCTTATGTACAACAAAGGTAGACTCTTTCCGTAAAATATAGATGGTCATGAAAAAGGTGGTTTACAAGAGATATCGTCGGCAAGATGAATGTCCAAGCCTTGTTTGATTTTGTTTCTTCGTCACTTGATGGGCATCTAACCTGGCCGTTGCCATATTTGTTTTTGTTTATCTGACGTTAGGTTACGTCATACTTTAAAGGAAGTTAACTCGTGATCATTGAGGTACAACAAGGGTTATTCACCGGGGTATAATAGGGTTGTTCGATGGAGGCTTCAATTTGTCGGGGTTATTCACCGGGGAATATTAGGGTTATTCGATGGAGGCTTCAGTTTGTTTGGGTTATTGACCGCTCCTGCCAATTTTTGAAAAAACATCGAAATTTAACTATGACACGTTATTCCGTATTAGCCAATCAAATGATTACTATATAATGTAAGGTATAATAATGCTCAATGTAAAATATTTGGCACAAAGGATAAAATTGAAGAAAAATCAATATAAATTAACGTCTTATGCAATATTTCTTATATAAGTAAATTTTACTTTTAGTGCAGTTGGATAAAACTACAAAACACGTATAAAAAAGTTTAAACCTGGTTTTCTTACAAAATCTGAAAATACATGAAAGGAATAACATGTTGATTAGCAAAACTGACCACATCCACCAACAACATCCGAAT